TCAGAGCAATGCTGGCCATGGAATGAAAAAGATGCAGCGAGTCATATATATATATATATATACACATACTGTATATATTTGTTGGATGGGAGTGCAGCATAGTTGGGCACGTCTCAACAGATGCAAATGTGCACTCTCTTATCCAGCGGAACGAAGAGAGAGAAGCTGGGATGCAAGCTGCAAGGGTTGGAACAGCAGAGTGAATGTAAAACAACCACCAATGTAAACCATTTCATACTGCAGCAACTCTGCGCCCATTTTGCTCGAAAATCGTAGAGACCTTTCAGGATTTGCTCCATGAGCATTCTGGGTGCAGTCAGACATCCTAGTGCACCCCTTCTGCATTGTCTGACCAACAAGGCCATGCAGATGGAGCCCAATCTCATCCTGTTGAACGTGGCCACGAAGAACTCCTCATGGCCGGCGGCTTTGTGGCTGGCCGCGGAGGCGCCGGTGCTCATGTCGTCATGTCCCTCCCAGGTATATGCAGTCATGTCTTGGAGATGTCGGCTTGACAGCTGTATTCCGACTGGAAGAGGCAATCATGAACAGATGTGCCTCTTGATGCGTCCTATTGGGCTTGAACCGAGCTTATTGTAGTTCCAGCCGTGCATTCCAGCTCGGAAGTGTTCGAACAATTCAATATGATGTTCCACAAACATGGAAGAGCGATCTCAAAGGAAGCTCCTCAACCCACAAGCACCACTGGACACAATCGACCAAAAGACCTACAAAGCGTTCGCCAGCATGGCCGGTCTTGGTTGTGTGGCGGGTTGTTTGCCCCTCAACAGTGACCTTGAACCAGCCAGGCTGGAGATGCAGCCAATGCAACTCGTCGTACATGTTTCTGAGAGAAGAAACGAGAATCTTTGAAGAGCCATCCAAGGTCATCCCTCTCGCTTCACAGAATTTCTTGTGGCCTCAACAAACATCTTCCTCTACCGGGCTCTACCATCACTGTAGTTGATGCTTTGGTTTAGACTCAGAATTCCCTGCATGACCATAAAGGATCTTCAGCCAGAGTTCCACAATGTGGCATGCAGTCTTGTGGATCAATTGTCAATTGAATTGTTCCAAGGGATTTGCATATTCTGATGGAATTCAATGGAGTGATCGTTACAAGGTCATCACCTACAGCTCCAGCATGAGCACCTGCGGCACAGAATGGCCTGTTGTCAGCTCTCTGTTTCTGGTCAGACTGCGTTTCGCCATTATTTCTATTGTATGTGATCTCACCACGTCCCATGGTGTTTGCCAGCGTCTTGAGTCTTCCTCCACATAAGTTTACCCAGTCTGTACAAGTTTTGGGATGAAACATTTGTGTGGATGAAGGACGTCCTGTGGCTGATTAAAGACATGCCAACTCACGAGCTGGTAGGTCGACACCTTTCATGTTGGACATTTTGAGACAGATGTCCTTTCACCATACAGTACTTAGCTTCTTGTTCCTAGTACGGCCAGGAGCCCCTAGTAGCGTCCTTGCTCCTAGTAGCGATGCCAGGAGCCCCTAGTAGCTTCTTGTTTACTTGTAGTTTGCTTCATGCCAAACTGTCCTTTTTCTAGAGCCGAGGCTGTTGTCAATGCGAGAAGTCTGGGTGCAGCCGTGCTTGGCCTCAAAAACAAGATGGTAGCCGAAAGCACAGTTCATCGCACTTAAAGGACTCCCGACGTGTGTCAGATACATATGAGCTGGTGACTAGATGGCCAGCTGGTCTGGAACCATGGAACCTATTCCTTGTATTTCCTTGTAACACGTGTGAAAACACCACAGGAAGCCTATGGAATCTATGGAACCATCTTTCTTGTTGAAGACCAAGGACTTGGCCATTCAGATCCGTTTGCTCCGACCCAGGACATCGATCACCTTGAACACATGGATCACTTCGCTGGAACACAGAAACTGGGACTGGGCCTTGCTCGCGTTGAGTGAGGTGGGACATCGGCCAATACAAGCGACTACTACTAGGAACAAGAAGCTACTAGGAACAAAGACTGGAATAGTTCAAGCTGGAATGGCCTAAATTGTTTCTTCCGAATGAGCACATTAAGCCTTGGACAGAAGACAACAGGACAAGGGCAAATGGTTGCCTTCCTCATCCTTTGAATTTGACAGCAGCAATCCATCCATTCTATGTTCGTTTCATGTCGCCACGCAGGTTCAGAGACAGGCCGTTGACGTGATTTCTTTCAATGCAACCATCAATGCTTGCGAGAAGAAGCAGGAGCTATAGCAGCAGTTCGGGAGTAGGGCCATGAGAGCATGAGAGGAGAGTATTTTCTTTTCACCATCTTTGTGGGAGATGAATCCACTCAATATATAATGTTTGAAGATCTCCCAAACAGAATAGCTTTGTCATAATACACCTTCAGGGCCCGGAGATGTGTGCGATTCTTGCTGAAACATGACATGGATATTTGTTTGGCAATATCCGTTCGGCCGAAAAGCAAACAAAGGTGCCATCAAACACAACTTTGGACTTCAGGTGAAGGAGAAGTGCAACTTTTTGATAGTTGTATTCTAGCCCTCCTGGAAGCATCTACTTTCAACCTGTTTGACATCCGCGCGTATTTTGCGGGTCTTGGTTGTAGAATGGAACCGCTTAAATGTACCCAGCTTCCCTGCGAGTGGCTTGTTGTTTCATTGCTCATTTGAGGAATGGCATTTTGCCTTGGCGTTGCTAGGCCATGTCAAGGACGCTGCGGTGCCTTGGGATCTGTTGTTTTCATGGAGTGCTTGATCCGATACAGCAGTGAGGGTCCGATACAGCAGTGACAGTGAGGGTCCGATACTAGTTGTGAGGGCCCACAACTACCAGGAGCTATAGCAACTGTGGCTCGTGGCATTTCAAGCGGCACCTGTCTTTGGCCTGTAAGCCGGCCCGTAAGCAGACGAGACACACGCAGCCTTTCAAGTTTGGATGTGCAAGCCATCGAAGGAGGATGGGCTGGAAGCGAGTCAGGTAACCTTGAACAGCGTGCTCAGTGCTTGCCGTTTCCCGTCCAGATTGAAAGGTCAATGATGGGGGAAGACATGCGAGGACTTGCAGACTTACAGTACTACCACAACAGACCCATACATTCGATCCAACTCGGTGGTTTGGTTGGATGGTGAGAACATCAAGATCAGTGTTTATGTGGAAGTGCTAAGGTGAAAGGTCAAGTCTTTCGTAAAATCATCTGACTAGCAGTTTGGTCTAACTAGAACTCAGAGGGTTTTGTTTTTGATATCTCGGCCATCAAAGATACCAGATCTACAATATAGCTAATAGAGGACATTTTTGTTAAGGACCCTGCAAGGCATTGGAGGTCAACCAACTCGGGTCAACGCTAGCCCAACTCGCAGAGCCTTCTATTTATAAGATTCAGTGACAATGTTTTCCATGTTTTTCCAACGTGTATGATCTTCCTTGCATCTCCAAATTGCTTCCTCGCCTTGCCAAAGGTCCACAGAGAAGAACACAGAAGTTTTTTTAATGATTTGTTCTTCCTCCCCTCACTCGTAAAAGTGCTTATTGTTTGGAACGCTGTTGAACCCTGTTGGTCCCGTGATCCTCCCCAGGTCGCCGCTGGGAGCATGCGCTTCAGCTCGAGCGCCACTCCGATGTGATCAGCCTCAATGCCATGATCAGCGCATGTGGAATGGCAGCCGACTGGTGCCATCGGGAAGTCATGTTTTGGTGTGAAGACTTAGAGCGGTGCCTCCAAATAGATCGAAACAACATGAACTTCATTGAATTTCGTCAGATGTTCAGATTGGTTCTTCCGATTCTTCCGCTTTTCGATCTATTTGGGGGTCCCTTCTGGAGCTTGGTTGATGTCTTGAGGAGCAACGATGTGAAGGGTTTTTGCATATCTTGCTACCACAGTCTCAAGCATTTCCAGGCACTCGCCACAATGTGACTAAGCCCCGGCTTGGTAGGCAAACATGGCGTTTTGCATTGGACCATTTTGCGGGAAATTTCGGGATGAGCTTGGTGATTCAGACAGTGATGACGACGATGGAACCAACATGAGAGCAAAGACGAAAGGGAAAGCCAAGAGGAAAAGGCCAAAGAAAGACCGAACAAACGTCGCCTCGACCAACATGATGTGGGCCCCCTACTTGTCTGAAGTGCGAGTCCTCGTGAAGGGCAGATCGGGAGCCGAAGAGATGAAGGCAGTCACGCAGCTCAAAACTCCCTACAATCAAAATCTCACGGAGAACATGCTGAACCGCATCAATCAGCTGCATCAAGTGGAGATCATTGAAATTTCGAAATGCAATCTGCAAAAGATCCCCCCCGTCTCTAGAAGAGTTGGAGGGCCTTTTTTTCTTGGTTCTTTCCTACAACAACATTCGCAAATTCAGCGCAGAACTGGCTCGCTGTGAGGCTTTGGAGAGAATAGTGCTGGACTGGAACCAGATCGGTGAAATCGAGCCTGGTATCTTCTCTGACACGACTTTCCAAAAGTTGGAGGTCATCAACTTGTCCCACAATCGCCTTACTTTTTTACCGACGGACTTTCCTAGAACTGCTGCGAAGGCTCTGCGGTACGTGGACCTGTCCTACAATCAGTTGACCTCCGTTCCATCCGAACTGATGCAGTGCAGAGAGCTACGAGAGCTGAATTTGTCCCACAATCGGCTCAGCTCTTTGCCCGAAAAGTATGAGCTCAAGAGGCTGAAGAAGCTTTTTCTCTCCTTCAACGAGTTGGTTTCTTTGCCAGAAGATATTGGCATCAGTGAGAAACTGGAAAAGCTCCGCATCACGTCCAACCAGATCAAACGGCTACCATTCTCCATCTTGAAACTATGGAAGAATGCTTCGCCTACTGGACGGCTGGAGGAGCTTCTGGTAGATCGCAATCCACTTCAAGTTCCAAGCATCACAGCCTTTGAGATGGAGAGTGGCACAGGTGGCATGAACAGAGCTTTGGAGTTGCTTCAGTGGCATCAAAAAGAAGCTGAGGAAGAGATGCGGCAGCGCACCCAACTGGCGCTGAAGGACCAAGAAGCGCAGTTGGCCTTGCCAACATCAGTGGCAGAGGTAAAAACCGAGGAGCTGGAGCTCCAACCTGCTGCGGAGGATCAAATGGCCCATCTGGATCCTTGGTATTTTGGGCACTGCCTTGAAGACCAGGAAAAGATCGCGGCAATCCGTGACGCGGAGCAGAGCTATTTGGTGAGAAAGAGGCACCTGTTCCTAGAACAGCAGAGAAGGCTAACTCAGGATGAGAAAGACAATTCCAGAACTGGATTGATAAAGCCAGAAAGGGAGGTCTTTCTGGATGAGCAGAGCTATCAAAAGTACAGAGGTCGCATCAAGACAGAGGATCTCGACATTTTTCACATCCATTTCATCATGACTGCCAAGCAGACTTATGGCTCTGCCACAGAGTGGTTCAGGAGATTCGTGCCTGACAAAAAGAGCTACATGACAAAACAGGAGTGGTACGAGCTGTGCTTGAACTCCAAGTTGGATGTGCGCCAGAAAATGATGGATGATTTGTGGGCTGATGTGTATGATGAGAAACTGCATCCGCATGGGCTTCCTTTGACTAACTTCATAGCAGCTGCCCAGATCCATGATATAGAGGCCAGGGATCCATTTATCATCCGAATCGCTGACGCACTTTGCTTGGACTACTTTGAAACGACCATCAACACCATCGAAGCAGCTTCAGCTCCCAACGACAGTGTCATGGCTCCCAACCATGCAGGAGTTCATCAGCATTTGACAGATGAACTTGTAGCTCCCATTGGCTTGAAGCCAGCAGCTGAGCCACTGGCAGTTTTCTCTGGACAAGTGAGTCAGTCGGACAAACGCGATAGCGTCTCCGAGCTCAAGGACATCTTGAAAAAGGTGAGTCTGACGGAGTACGACTGCCAACAGCTCAACAACCTTGAGGGCATCGAGGAACGAAGCGTGGCCGAGTCGGAGAAGTCCGAAGATTCGGCCGAGTTGTCCGACGATGCAGCCTCGGAGATGACGGAGTTTGATGCCCAAGCCTTCCTTCTGGAAGAACTGGAGCAAAGTCATGTGGCCGCAGCCAAGGCTCCATCACGCTTTACTATCAACAGTGATGCTGCCTTGAGGCAACTCATGCAGGCACCCCTCTCCGAGATCTTTCGAGGTCGAGCAGAAGCACAGCGAGCCACAGAACCTCCGGAGCACTTCAAGCGACAAGTGCTGAACAAGCCACAGAACGCCAGCAGAACACACAGTGGTGAGTTGGCGGTTCGGCGAGCCATTCGTGATGTGTACCGGAACATGCCCTTCCATGAATTCTCTTCATTCATCAGCTTCCTGCTGCGCCAGCTGCATGCCATCAAGGAAGACAAGGGTGCCAGTCCCACTATGTGGCATGATGATGAGCCCGCATTTCGACATGCAGTTGGAGCCGCTGGGCACAACAAGTACACTTGTCGTTTGTTGGAGATCATGGGTTTTGTCCATCTCAACGACAAGTACTGGATTTGGCCCGTTGTGCACCTGAAGTCTGGGAAGCATGGAAAGACTTGGGCACATCTCCAAGTTCCTGCCGACTGTCCAGGGATGGTGAGGGCCCGGCTGGAGCATATGATCAATGTTCTGGCTAAGTGTCTTGTGGCCATCAACGAAAAGGGGACGGCCTTCACTGGGTACTTCGACCCTGAATGACTTGGTGGGCGCTAGAACCGCTAGAATCGCTAGAAGCAAGACTGTTGCAGCTAGAAGTGTCAGGGTTTTCTGTGAGATGCCGCTTCTTTACATTAATATAATATAACACTGTTTGTTACACAATGTCTCTTGATGCTCAGGGATCCTGAGAGAGTTGCAACTTCCAGAGTGTCACTGAATGTGTAATAGAAATTCAATCTTTTGGGATCGCCGATCCCTTCAGATGCTCGAGCTCCTGCAACAAGTCTGGAGGGTTTCACAATCAGTCCAAAAAAATGGCTGGGTTGGTTACAGCTGTGCATACATAGAGACAGCAGAAGTGCTTGGATTCACGAAGAAAAGATGAGATCTCATGCTTGGCTGCGGTTTGGAAAGGAGTGCAAGTAAACTGTATCCTGCAATCCACGTCTTTGGTAGTTGCGATGGACGAAAGAACTCCGTAGTATTCTTTTGGCCTCTTGGGAAGGTTTCCTTGACTTGAGAGGCAGCGAGTTGGCGAGATGCTTTCGAGCGGAAGGCATCAAAGTGTGGAGCACCTTGAATTTATGCCCAGTTTGCGTTTTTTACTTTATTACCCCTCCGCAAAGCAAGCGTTGGCTGGGAGATTGGTGACGCATGAAATGCGGCCAAACTCAGTTTGTGCTTTTTTGCAAAAGCTTCCACGAGGGACTTACTAAGGAACGACCTGATCCTAACAACGATCAAAGGAGGGACGGCTTTCAGAGAGAGAGAGAGAGAGGTTGTCTCACTGTCTTTGCAAGTGTTGGTTTCATTTATGCTGAGTGCCCAAGACGCGATACTCGTGGAATCATAGGACCGAGAAGCACGAGACTGATCTTTAGAGATGGACGCCATGAGGATGATGCAACGCTCCATAGAACCTGGCAATTTTCTTTTGTGCAAGATTCCCATTGCCTGAGGCGTGATGTGGTTTCCTTTAACGCCAGTATCACAGCAGCTCAGAGGATCGTGGGTTTGGGAAAAGACTGACTAGGGTGACTAGGGCTAATCTTCGCCGACAATCTTCAAACTGTTCGATTCAGATCTTAAAGACTTCCTGCTGGGTCAGGTGGACCCCTGGACCGCTCTTAACACACTGACTGCAGGTTTGTTTGGGATAGCTTTTTCTCAGGTTCATTGCGCTTCAACTCTGTTCCCTCAACTCTTTCCACAGAGACTAGAGGGTAATGATCATTTGTTTTGTAGGGTCTCGTTTTGCTTTTTCGGCTCTATACCCTTGGCATGGGGGTGGGGGCCACTATTTCCAGGCCTCTCAGATTTCATCTGAAGGAGCGTTCGATGGATGCAAGCCTTGCACTGGTTGGCAGCTGTTCTTGAAGAAGCCTCCGACGCATGGCGGAACTGGAGAGGCCCTTGCAAACCACCCCAGATACTGTAGAAACCCACTATTGGCTTGGGAAGATGAGGACTTCCTGATATGTATTTTTTTCATCTACTAAGTACGACATTCCATTTTGGCCAAGCTGAACAAAGAGTCAAGCGGCGGATAAATGGACAGATTAAAGCTGAGAGGACGGTCTTTGAGGCTTACGGTAAGCCCAGCAGCCTAACACGAACAACTCTGGTTTCCTCAGACTCAAAAGACATCATCTGAAGGGGTGATCCCATTTAGATTCTTATTACCAAAGGAAAAGATACACAAGCTGCGAGCGAACATTGGGTGTGTTTTTGGGGTGCGTGCGACACCGAGGTGATTTCTTACAATGCAGCCGTGAGTGCCTGTGAGAGTGGATTTCAGTGGTCCAGCGCGACCAACTTGGTGAACGCTTTGAAGGCTTGGTGTTTCGCAGTCTGAGACATGTCAAGGACTCCCGTTTTGAGCTCTTAGAGTCTTAGAGCAACCCTTGGGTAAGCGTTGTACTGAACATAAGGCGAACAAGACTTTGCCTGACATGATTCAGTGGGATACTTGCACCTGTGATGCCAAAAATTGCCTTCTATTTCAACAAACATCAAAGTGTTGTAGCCACACCAGCAATTGTAGTTGGAACCACAAACGAAGCAGTCAGCCCTGTTAGTTACTCTAGTTTGTTTGAGACTCAGCATATGTTTGGAACGACTCCGTGAACAGGCACAGTGGCAGTCCGTGCAGTCTCCCTCTGTGCCAGGTGCGTTGCTTGGAGGCTGACCAGATGACCACCAGCTCCATGGTGCGACCTGTGAAGCGAAAAAAGACATCACACGGAGTCCAGACCGTCCAGACCCAGAACTGAACGAACGATACCGTATCTACAGGATCTTTCACAAAACAAGTCAACATCCCCTCCACCCGACAGGCTTGGGTTACTTGCAGCTGATGGTAGCTGGGTTGGAAGCTTTTTGATCGTCTTGACTGAGTCCACCGCAGGTGAGTGCTACTGGGAAAGCCCAACAATGGGAACTTGCTGTCCTGGCCTTGCATACTGGCAGAGGCCAATGCGGAGTCCGTGGAGAGGAGACGTGAATGTCCAAAATCAGGAGACAAACCCATGCAGCATATGCAGGCCTTTTTTTCTTCGAGCACTTGACATTCAAAGCTGCAAAGAATACACTCATTTGCCTGCTCGTCCGTCCAGGCTCCTCTGTCGGCTACGATGCAGCCATGCGAAGCGCGCCCTGGCAATGGGGTGTTGGTCTTTTATGCCATGGCCAGGACGGGTGGAGATGTGTGAGACTGGAGGCGTGACATGTTCTTGACGTCTTGGGTGTTTGGCATTACCATCTTGTCATGTTGAACAAATCATGATGTGATGCCACACATGTGCCACTCTTGAAATTGCTCAAATTTAGGAGGCTGAATTGACGCTGGATGTCACCATTTACGAAGCGGTGGTGACCGCCTGTGAACAAGGTGGCTTGCGCATAGGTGTGCATGTGCCATGTTGCAGTTGTTTCTGAGCGTATCAATTAATGAGTTCGAGCAGGCAGTACGGAAAGCCTTCGAGTGATACTGAAAAAGATAACTTGAACTGTTGAACAACCCCTTCTTCATGGAGTCTTGGTGTTGAAGTGCCCCACTTTCTGCCCAAAGCAGTCCAAAGCTTTGCAGGATCAAATCTGCTCAGTCCGAAGCTGTGTCCGAGTCGCCATGCAGGCAGTGCGCCCCGTCAGTGCCTTCAGCTCTTGAGCCGAGTGGAGCAGGTGAGCCCGACTTGAGCCCGATCCTTGTAGCAATTTAAACACTAAGAATGGCAGTTGGAGGGCCTTTCTAGTAGGTTGGAGGCCATCGCTAGTAGGTTGGAGGCCAATGCTTCTAGGTTGGAGGCCATTGCTATTTGCTCCCTTCCAGTGAGTCCACATTCAGTCTATATTCCAGGAGATCTCCTTCTGCATGCATCATTGCTGATTGGCAGCATGCATAAGTGAATCGTGGCCGCAGGCTGACTGGGGTTTGGGAATGACATGTTCTAAGTTATTCTAGCGGAATTGGGCTTGCTGCTCTTTTTCAATGTTGTATGTCCAGCCCCTGTGCCAGATGTACCAGCAATGGTGGCTTTCGTGGACTATGTCTTTCCCCTTTGAGCAGTTCCACGAGGCAGAGAAGGGCGAAGGGCAGGCGTAGGGCACACCATCGGGGAATCTAGATGTTTTGGATCGACAGTCAGCAAGGCACCAAAGAAACAGAAATGCATCCGGCATACGAGGTGCTTCACATTAATATTTCAAGACACAATACCGATTTGTCCCAAACTGATTGGTGTTTTGCGGAGCATCCCAGATTACAGTATACATGGCTTCTAGTAGCCACCGCAGGTGTTGGCAGAAACTACTCACGATGATCGGCCGATATCCTGCGATGCTTCCTGGCCACTGCTTCGAGCGGACTTGCCGCGACAGCACCGGTCTTCAGCTCTTCGAAGGTAGCTTCGACAGCATGTTTTTGGTGCTCTGTGAGAGGAACATCCAATGAATGAAATGCCTTAGCTGCCCATAAGGATGCGCCAAAGCTGTCAGAAGATGGATAGATCGGATAGACCGTGTGTTCAGCCGTGTACAGCAGTGCCCAGCAGTGCGCAGCAGTGCAGAGCACGCGACAGGATTCAGTTGTGAGTTGTGTTGTGGCAAGCTGGCCTGTGGTCGGTCACAAGATCTTGCACAGCAGCTACCGCAAAGCGAAAAAAAGAGCCGCAAAGAGGGCAGTTGAATTCGTGCAGAAGAGACCACTTCATGAGGCAAAGATCAAGAGCACTTCGCTTGAATTGATGAGCAGCTTGTCCGCGTACAGTGGAGGGAAGGCAGAACGCTCCCACACAACTCCTAGTCTCCTGCATTCTCAGGCGAATCCTTTTTCCACAAGCCAATGCGCACATATGATACCTTTGTGATCAATATTAGGGTGGAGGCCATTGCTATTAGAGGAGGCCATTGCTAGTATGTTGGAGGCCATTGCTTCTGGGTTAGAGGCCATCGCTATTGGGGTGGAGGCCATCGTTATTATGTGGCATTGTTGGTTTGTGTGGCGCACCCGCTGTGGCTCGAACGAGTTGACACATCTGATCTATATTATGGCTCATCCTTCTTATCAAGATGTGCCGACAGACATGGTAACAGAGAACCTTGAACTGCAGACATTGGTGTGATGTGCTGTGGGGCTTTTGGGCATGGTCCATTCAGGCGGGTTCCTTGAGTTCAGCAAACTCACCATCTTTTCGGTCGTCACGATTGCAGAAAACCTTTCGAAGTATTGAAAAAAAACTGCGAAAGCCACCTCGACAGAGTTTCCGCACAGTCATCAAAAGTAGATTCCCTCAGAGAAGAGAGCAAGGTTTTGAAGGGATTCGGATTCATCGAAAGTCGAACGACACATCCGTGATTCTGTCCTTCTAGACGTTGCAGTTCGACAGTATCGAGAACCTCTACCTGAAACATGTTCTTCTCCTGCTGTATTGTTTGTTCGGACTTTCGCGTCTCATCCAGCTCCAGCGAAAACACTAGACATCCAATTGTTTTGAATTGCTGAGCTGCTTTGGAACGGCAGGTGCCACTTATCAATGTATTAGGAACATGCTCCGGTACCTAGTGACCAAAAGATACCAGACGTATCTTTACGAAACATGAAGAAGGTATTGGACAGATCATGATCCTTTGCCGAACAGGCCTGCATCGAAAAATACACCGCAAGGAGCGTAAGCAATCTGCAGCGTTTGCTGAGGTGGGAAGGATTGCAAATGTGTGCAAATTCCATTTCAGCATGACATGAATAGCTTGTGATGAGAATATGCTAGAACATACATACTGGGTCAGGATGTTCAAGCATGCACATGTTGGGGTGTGTACTTGCCCATGGGCGTTTGAATTACTTGGATCGAGATGGATTTGTGTATATAAAGACGCGTGGGTGAAAGCGCCTTTTCCTTGTTTTCGACAGGGCTACATAGTGGATAAGTCTTTTGTATGTACATTTCTGTACTACTATATGGTCGCCCGCGCTCCCCTGCCACAGTCTTTTACTGTGGTACCCGTGCGCCGTCCAAGCTAGGTAAAACAAGCTAAACAAGCCGTCAGCTCAAACCCTTTCTCAGTACTTCTTCTTCACATAGGTTGGTCTTCCATCCCACATAGCCAGCCAGTGATGACCTCCATGAGGCAAGAAGGTGCTGAAACCATGGGTCTCGTCCGTGCACGCCGGAAAAAAACACGGTATATCAGAACCACTCGTCGGACAAGGTCTGACCTCTTTCCATCCTCCGATTCAAAAGGACCGCAGTCACCGTCTTGGACCACACAAAGGCTAAGCCATGTGTCCATGGGTCGGACTTCACCTCTAGGGCACCTTTTGTTTCGAAGAGACAGGCTCTTGCGGTAGATGTATTTTGATCATGTATTTCACGTCACACTTCACGCGGCCGCCGACAGTTGGCTTCAACTTCACGTACGGCAGGAGATCTTCACTTAGGATGCATTTCCTGTCCCACGTCCAGAGTTGGTGAAAGCCACGCAAGTACACATCTTCCATAGTCTCTTCTGCACTACCGGCCCAGGTGCCCATCCATGCAAACTCATCATAGAAAGGGATCGCCGGTGACGGAACTGCAGCGATCACCTGCTCAGGTCCAGGCTTCGGGAGGTCCACCTGTTTCGTGAGCTTCATCTTTCATATGGCTCCTTTCTTTGCCCTCTAGTAACAAGAAGCTATTAGAAACAAGTGCCACGCTAGTAGTAACAGGTGCCTTACTAGTAGTAACAAGAAGCTAGTAGTAACTTTGGAGCCTTTGGTGGCCTCTTGGCACCGCGGAGGTCGAAGTCAGAATCCGGAAGACGCCATCGCTGTAGTTGCTTCCTTCTTCTTCCCTTCCCCCCGTTGTGTCCATCTTCTTTCTCCTCCTCCGGGTAGATCGTCAGGACTCAGGTAGCACTGTCCACATCTCGTTAACGCACCTGCGCCTTCGGGTCAGCCAGCCGCTGGATCTCCTCTTTGGACTGAAGGCCACCAGCGCCAAAGCCACCTCCACCAGCGGGAAGTTGCAACGCTAAAAAGACCTTATGAAGTTTGCGCCAGTCTCTCCGTTGCCGCTGGTCCCATAGCTGCCCATGAAGTTCCCAGCACAGCAAGGCCTCCGTTCCCACTAGTCCCATAGGCGTTCATGAAGTTTCCTCCAACAGACACCTCCACTGCTGCTGGCAGCACAGGCATTCCCCAAAGCAGATGATTCACCAGCTCGAGGTTGGCCATGTTCTTCTTCATCAGCTTATTTTGAACCCTTCCGTTCCTTTTTTCTCTCGATGACCTCTTTGAGCGAGTCGACCAAGATCTCCAGGAGCGTACACGAAGCTAGTCACCTGGGATGAGAGGCTGCTGTCTAAAGCCTGCAACACTTTCCAACATGCCCATCAAGTTCATGTGAACTCCATGACCAAGTCCAACTCCAGTTGCCATTCCGCTTCACGTTGTGCAGGAACCCCTATGACCTGGGAAGCATCCATCCACGTCACATCCTCCAAATCCTGGTTGTCCTTCTCCCCCATACACATGCCTCCCACCGCAACTGAGTGTCCCATAGGCCTTTGAAGTTGTGTTTGACATCCACCTTGCATAAACATGTTTCTATCATAGCCCCTCTCCCGTTGTCTCGCATTCCGACCTCACCATCGATGCCACATCTCGATCTCCTTCACGAAGTGGGCTTGAAAAGACGGCGCTGGCAGTGAAGCTGGTCTCATAACCCTCAGCATCGCCTCCTCCTTGGCCTTCTCGGACCAAAAAGGATGTACTTCAGGGCTTCCACCATGTAGCACCAGCTCCTGACCTTCACCTTCATCTTCAGATGGAGGGGTCACTTCTACTGGAACATTGGTTCCATCCACAGCCGCGGGGACCAACAACCAACTTCCTAAATTTGGGTGGACTTTCTCGCGCTTCTTAGGGCTCATAACCCACGTGTTGGCGAAAGCGCCTTTCTCTTGATTTCGAAAGGGCTACAAAGTGCATAGATCTTTTGTATGTGCATTTCTGTACTACTAGCTGGTCACACACGATAATATATATATATATATATATACACGGATTTATTATCATAACTTTCCCATGCCCCGAGGCCAGCAGGCAGTTCCCAAAAGCGACTGCAGCTTTGGAGGGCACCCGTTCGTCATCCGCTGCACGTGCACCGGCGAAAAGTGCACATTCAAGATTGTCGAGACGGACGTTCCTTTTGAGGAAGTTCCTTAAAGAAACTTGCGGAACACTTCACAGTACGGGGCTGAGGCCAACCTTCAAACTGCCCTTGCTTCTTTCAATGAGACGGTAGTTAGTCCAGACCTTATACAACCCTTTCGATGCGAATCAAGCTGGCAGTTGCAGCCTCATCATTGCACGAGCTCTTTCATATGCCCAAACATCCTTTTGGCTGCGGATCATTCATAGCTTTATGAAGGACACCTCGACGAGGACACCTTGACAAGCTCCGGTCACTGGCTCGGAGTCTCACGGCGTGTCTGGCCAATGGTCAGTGTTCAACTGGACGATGAGTATATATATATATATATGAGATGATAGTCCAACAAACTGGTGAGAAAGAGAGGAACCTTTAGTCAACTTATGTTTGAATCATGCTTCATCCGTTTGTATAATTGAAAGATCTTCAAACCATTGCAAGCCACCTGACGCACAAACGAGTGTGTGTATCTTTGCGCCGGCGATCGCTGCCCATGGGTTGGGCCTTCAAACCCGGTGGCATGGGCCCATCAGTCCATGGCGACAAGGCCGCTGGGGTCCGTTTCGATCCCACGGGCCCTGGGGCGCTCGCGTGGCCTTCCTAAATTTGGGTTTCGGCTTCATCGGACAGGTGGACTTCTTTCATCCAAATGTGTGACTTCGGGTGGTCCAAGCCGAGGGAGTAGCTTCCAGCTGGCCTTATGCAGAACAGACGCTATCAGATGCTTCGTGGTTGGTGTGGGTCAAGTGGGTCAAAATATCCTTTGCGAACGACTTGCTTTGAAAGGAACACCAGTTGTGCCCTTGGGTACTATCGTGAATGTTCGTCTAGCACAACCAAAATGTGGCCATTTTGGCTGGAAGCCCACCAGCCATCCTCCTCGTTGTTTACAGCGGGGGGAGAATGGCTGGGTGGGAGAGAGGACGTGGCCATCAGATGAAGAGGTCAGAGGCAGCGTTGTCGCCTCGGCCCGGCAGCGCGAAGCTGGGTAAGACCTCTGGTCTGATGGCCATCGGCGCGTGGGCGGCCCGAGTAGAAATCGCGAAGATGATCGAGGCAGGAGTTCCTGCCAAAGAGATTCTGAGCGAGATCCGAAAGGGAGAAGAGGGAGACTTTCCCTTCCCCCCTTTTGAGCAGACGGTCACCCACTCTGGCTCTTCGACTCCTGGGAGTAGTGCCACCCCACGCCCAGGAAGAGATACGGGGGTGAGCTCTACGACATCCCGATCCGAACCACCCCGGGGAGCTCCCTGGGAGAAACCGCGACATGGGAGCCCCGTGTCAGTATCTCCGACTTCGGCTGCGGGAGGTCACTCTGCAGGTCTGCCCGAGTGGGCAAAGAAAGGAGACGGACCCCGTATGACGTTCCGCAAGCAGGCAGTTGCACCAGCTGAGGCAAATTGGTCGGACTGGGCAAAACCTGAGGCGAAAGAAGCTGACAAGAAGAGTGAGAGGGCCGCAGAGTCGGAGTTCGAGTACACCCCCACGGAACCCATAGCGGAATTGGTTGAGAGTGGCATCTTCAAGAACTTCAAGAAGAAGGCGGACAACCGTTCCAGATGGGATGAGGCCCCCGACAATCAACGAGGCCAGGCGTTGCGACAGGGAGATCATGAACGAAGTCCTGAAGGTCGTTGCAAAGGGTGCAAGCTCGGTGGGGGCAGGACTCCGCCACTACGCCGAGTTGGGGGACGGAGAAGGTCTATGGAAGCTCCTCCAAGCCCAACCGGAGTCTTTCCCGGATCAAGGGCTTGAGAAAGGATCGCAAAAGAAAGGGCCGGCCGGAGCAGATCCCGGTAGAGGCCGGAAGCGCGATCTTGACGACCAGAGCGACAAGACGACAGATGACGCAAACAAGGCCAGGATGTGCATGATTTGCAAGAAGCGGCACGAGCCTCGTTGCGAAATTCCTCCTGGTTGGAGGAAGGCCCAAAAGGAGCAGAAGAAGGCGGAGAAGTCAGCATCGGCGTCGAAGGGCGACCCCGCGAAGGACAAGGGAGGCAGTGGCAAGAAGCCATAGGGATTCGCCCGCCCCAGGACGGACACAACTCCCGTTCCTGGAGTGAGGGCAGACTTCTTCCGAAAAGGATTAAAAAGAGTTGCGCGACCTTGGGATCTGTTGCGGGGCAGGGACGTGTTTCGAGACCGGATCGAGCTTGATTCGGAACTCGTACTACACGAAGTCCAGCACTGGGCACCCAATTGTTGCACTTTTTCTCGGGCGAGGGAATACCCTATCCCCGGAGTGGCAAACCCGCCAAAACCCCTCAGGAGTGAATCTTTCCCTGAAGGGATTCCAGATGTAGTCCAGCACCTCCCGGTAACAAAGAGACGGAAGCCACCGACATGGCGAATCTTGCTGCTGACAGGTGCTTGGACGCCCATCGAAGTGGGCGCTACTTTTCGCTCGGGAACCCCAAGAACTCTCTGGCTCGCCACTTGACCAAGTGGAGGCAGCTGGAAAGGGAACCCGGGGTTCTAACCACCTTTTATCATGCGTGCATGTTCAGCCCCTGCAAACGTAGGAAGGCGCAAGTTTTAATTCGCAATATCCCAAACCTGGTTGAGAGGGTAGGTCTCACATGTGAAAACAGTCGTTTATGTTCTCGTACCGGGGAGAAGCACTTGCCCTGGAGACCCACGGTTGTTAACGGTCGTGTGTCTTCGTTCGCCACGGCCGACGAACGAGAGTACCCACAGGCCTTTTGCGAAGCTTTCGCAAAAGGTTTAACGTTCGCCGAAGGGACCTCCCCGTCGAGTTTCATAGAGGTTTTTTTCTGGGCCCAACGCGCCCCTCTCCAGAGCAGTTGCCCTGGAGTGGAATATTGATCCACCCCCGAGGGCTCAACCCCAGGGACGTCCTGGAGTCGAACACTCGGAGACTCAGACTTTGACGAACCCCGTAATTTTTACACCGAATCTAACAAGGGTTGAGCAGGAACAGGACGCTGAGATTTCAGGGCCTCCTGAAAATCCCGTGCATGTTGCTGAGCCGCTGAAGCGCTACAGGACTCATGGCTTGGATCACCCTTTTGATTCTCTTAAGTCGCTCAAGCCAGAGCACGCCGCGGCAATCACAGAGTTCGTCGACGCACAGAATTTGATTTCTAGAAGGTTGGATGCGCTGCACATGTTGAAAACTTGGGCAAAGGAGTTGAGAGAGGGACAGTCACAAGTTAATAAAGGTGCTCCTTGGACTGCCAAGAAACTAGGCACCAAGGTGAACACGCTCCTTATGGAACGTCTCCAGGACCTCCTGAACATCGAGGATAAGCGAGTTCCAGGGTTGTGCTTGAAAGGACTTAAAATCACAGGCAGAGCTCATGAGTCGCCTTTCTTCGAACAGTTGGAGGTCAGCCCAAGTATGTCGCAAGATGAGTTCATCGCAGGTTGCAGTGAACGATCAGAACGAATGATTGATCGAGTCCGATACATGGCAGAAAAAGGATCCAAGGAGTTGGCTTGTGCCATCTGGGAAAAGACCCAGAAGGAAGTCAAAGCCGGCACCATGGGCCCAGCCATGACTTTACAGCAGGCGAGGTCTTTGTATCCAGGTCCACTCCAGGTCACGCCGAGTTTCGGCTTGGAACAGGGACAGGACGCTGAGGGTCAGAAGAAATACAGAAGGATTGATGACCACACTGCATCCGGAGTGAATCAGGCAGCACATCGAATGCAAAAGGTGCCCATGGTTATGGTGGACTACGTGGGCGTTCTATGTAGAGCTTTAGCCAGATCTGTTGAACAGATCTCGATGGCTACCGAGGATATGAAAGGTGCATACAGGCAGATCCCACTCTCACCAGAGGATGTACGCTTTGCAATCACAGCTGTCTACAACCCGGAGCAGCAGGAGGTGTCGCTCCACGAAATGTACGGACAACCTTTTGGGGCAGGCCATGCCGTGCCAAATTTTTGTCGTGTGGCAGAGTGGATAGCGAGAGTGATCCAACGATTATTCTCTTCGACCACGGACCACTTCTTTGACGACTTCTTCGTTGTGGAACCGACCGCAACCATTAAGTCTGCTGTTTTCTGCCTTAGGGAAACGTTTCAAGTTCTCGGATTCCAGCTGGACCCGGAGAAGTCGCAACCTCCAGCCGAGGTATGTGCCATCCTGGGAGTTTGCTTCAACACCGAGTCTTTGCACAGTCAAAAGATTATCCATGTCACGGCCAAGGAGTCTCGCCTGGCTTTCCTCCAAGACACCATTGATAGGGTCTTGAGTGCAGGTCGGCTTTCTCCCGCCCTCGCAGGTAGCCTGGTCGGGAAGTTCCAATTTTTATGTTCCACACTCTTTGGGCGCGTGGGACGTTGTTGTACGGGGCCGCTTCGTCGCAGACAATACGCCTCGTATCCAGTCGAGACTTTGACGGCTGAGCTCATCCTGGCCTTACGCCAGATGAAGTGCTTCCTTTCCACGAGTCCATCCCGTGAGTTGAAAGTTCATCGCATCAACCCCATCCTGCTATACACAGACGCCTCGGATGTTCCCGAGCGTGTACCGCAGCGAATATTGGGAGCCTTTCTTCACGACCCCATCGACGAATATTCTGGGTACACGGCCTGGCCCGTCCCGGAAGCCCTCGTTGAGAAATGGCTTCAACGCAAGTCATTCATGGGCCAGCTGGAGCTTCTGGCAGCCCCGGTAGCTTTTGAAACTTGGCGTACCCGCCTGCAGAACCGCTCAGTTTTTCTCTTCTGTGACAACGACAGCGCATCAGCGAATCTGGTTCGCGGCTACTCACCCCAGGTCGATAGTTCTTCCATCGTCGGGGACTTTTGGCTGACAGTAGCCAGGCTGAAAGCATCTGTCTACATAGACAGAGTTGAGAGCAAATCAAATCTTGCAGACGGCCCTTCTCGTTTTAATTTTTCAGAGGTCCGCGATTTGGGAGCAACTTGGACACGTCCCGATCCCGGCGTGTTGGGACGAACCCCCACACCCCTGCATCCCAATGTGGCGCACTGGAGCAGCGGGGGGGATAGAGTTACAACACCAGAGCGCCCCTAACGTGGCCACCGGGGGGAGAATGCTCTGGGTGTCGACTCTACGGGTGAGCAACTCTTGTTGTAGGTCCACAGGGCACACGCATGGGTGCTAGATGTGGATATCAACGACAAGAGCGGGTGGCGCCAGGTTCCCATATCCAACGAAAGACCTCGAGTGAACACGAAGAGGAAAATGGTTTGGTGGAGCGGCTTGAATATTCTTTTCATTTTGGAAAATAACTTGACCACCACGAGCACCGATCTCGCTCTTCAATTTTTTTAAGACAGCAACCCATCGCTCTTAGGTTGGAGGCCATCGCTTCTAGATTGGAGGCCATTGCCATTAAGTTTGTTTTAATTTTTGTTCGATCTCGCTCTTCAAGCTCTAATTTTTTAAATAGTCTTGCACATCTCTTCAATACAGACCGCAGGGGTGGCAGGAGCCAGCCATCTTTGCTGACCTTCAACCAAGCCATTGCCTTGTGTGCCAAATGCCGCTTGGCGGCATGGCTGCCCGTTTGAAAAAGATTGCGCAAGTATTTCCGTTTAAACAATATTGCGCACGTATTTCATCCCTACATCAAGCAAGCGCAACCAGATGTAGAGTGCCCCCACAGATTGTGCGGATCGCCGGATGTGTTGGCGGAACCAGGACATTGGCGTTGAGGTCAGTGAGACTTAACAAAAGTTGACGTGAGTGCTCAGCAAAGCTACTCAGTTCGATTGAGGTCACGATTGGAAGAAGGCCTTCTACATTCTGGAGGACCTGAAGTGGAAGAATACAGAGGCAGATGTCATCACTTCCAGCTCAGTCACTTTGATACGCATTCAAGGCATGCTAGCCCCTCACCACTCAATCTTTGAAGAGCTGTAGAGGCCTGAGATCTTCGACTTCACTATAGTTTGCTACCAATATCTTTTTTATCTCCAATCTTTTCCTTGGCTCTTGGACTTTAGTACTCGCGCTTGTTTGCATTTTTTCGTTGCTGCAGCTGAGGCCATGAGCGCCTGCAGCCGCAGCCGCAGCTGGGCAAAGGCTTTGCAGCTCTTCTCGACTGCGAAGCTTCAAGGTCCAAGCCCCCGGAATGATAGACAATGAGTAACATGGGTGTCTCAAAACAAGGGAAATTGCTTGAACCTCCTTGCCCAAAACCATGAGCCAAGTCTAAATGAGTCTCCAACGGATCATTTGCAACCAGATTATTCCTTCTCAGTTGCAATATATTTTAATGGATTTGATCACTCCCAGGCAATGTCATCACCTTTGGCATTGCAGTCAGCGCCTGCGAAAAGGGAGAGCAATGGGAAGGAGCACCTGTTGATTTTGTCATTTCGATACTTTTCCAAACGAAGACTTCAATGTGGCAATCATGGGATCAAGTGATTCATTTCCGAAAGCAGAGGAACTAGGTTGTTCACTCAGGCTTAGATTTTCATTCTGAACCAACCATAGCTTCGGGCTCTTCTGGCCATACATGTGATTGGCAGGTATGAGCCTACTGGCAATTTGAACCCACCCTAATAGCAATGGCCTCCAACTTAATAGCCATGGCCTCCACCCTAACAAAACCACATAAGCAGCGTCAAAAACCTCCCACGAACCGTTTAAGCAAACTTGTAAACTCCAACTTGCCCGCGGAAGCCAACACTGCAGTCGTGGAAGCTTGCGGAAGCCACCGCATAAGTATATGGTAAAATTCACCATCGCTGAAGCTTTGCGGAAGTGCACATGTTGTTTTCTTGACTCTTCTTGACAATAACAAATGCCCCTATACTTTAAGGAGATTTGTCTAACCTATGAGCACTTTTGAGAAATACGTCGCGGAAGCGCCGCGGAAGAGGATTTCAACCAAACATGGCCCGCGGAAGCCAAAACACAGGTCGCGGAAGCCCCGCGTAAGCATTGGCGGAAGCAAGTCATGAGCATAACAGATCGTAGACCGGTTTTTGACATCGCTCACATGGGTTTTCTCATGAGATGTCCTGAGTCTACTCTCTGAGTCAACAGGAGCCCTAGAAATCTTGGAAGAGCTCGAGATGCAGAAGCTGGAAATGAATGTGACGCTGGCAAGCATAGTTTCAACATCAGATCACACCCCGTTCTTCTTGTGGAATATTTGAGGGAAATCAACAGGAAACGCATCCCTGAACAGTGTTGTCCTGACACACTGTGTTCTTGTAACAGTCAATACTGTTGATTCACGCAGCTCTCATGGCATCACCAGCATCAGCACTCCATCTTTGCATGGAAGTGATCTCCACTCATGCTGGGAAAGTTAATTCAACAACTTGGATTACTTGGATTGTTCCATAGGATTGGGAAGTCAAGTTTATTGATGCTCGTTGGGTTGGCCAGAGGTATTCGCAGCATGGTCCTCTGAAATAAGTGGGAAGAAGAACCAGCTTGGCCGTCCATCCAGCCTAGGATTGTTTGCAGTTCTGCCATCAGCGCTTGCGAAAAGGCCGGTCAATGGCAGATGGCCTTGGCTTTACTTGAAGCATGTGACATGCCCCAAATAACAGAGTGGCTATCAGCACTTATATATTGACCATGTTTGTGGCAATTTTGCCATCATGTGGCATGATTTTCAATGTCCTCCCTCGGTTCTCAAATCCAGGGTCCCATACTTGAAACAATCTAGTGAAAGAGCCACAACGTGTGTGACACGAAGGTGCTTGTTGGCACAAACGACAGTGCCTTGTAAGCCGGGAATTGAGTAACGTTTGAGCAAGCTCAGTGAACTGAGGGGTTTTCCCGGCTCAAACACCGACAGGAAGAGACGGTTTCTGGTTTCATAAGGCAAAATACTGGTCCTTCTTGGGTTAGACACTGCTTACTTCAAAACCAGAAGAATCTCCTCGTTTTGATTCTGCTAAAGAGCTCCAGCTTTTGTCGTGAATCCTGACAACAACTTTGTGCCTCTCATCAAACCAGCGCACTCCTCTACCAAGGTGAGCAGCGAGATGTGCAAGCGAACCAGATTGCATATAGTGCAGCCATCAGCGCCTGCCAGACGCCGGGCATAAGCGCGGCGCTCGCATTGGATATCGTGAGTCCATTGTGAGTCCTCTAGGTCTAGTTTCGGTGACAGCTTCACATGCACTCGATTGTTCGTCCTGTAATCGTTCTTCGATTGTTCGAGCCCACATATGATTCATTGAGTTGGGGATTTCCTTCTCGTACTTCTGAGGAAAGGGCAAAGATGGCCAGAAGCTCTTCACTTGCTGAATAGCTACATTGCTAGCCATGCGCCCATGGACTTGATCATGTACAATGCGGCCGCTTGGACCTGGGCAGGGGTGGTTTTGAAGGAGGACAGGTACTCCTGCGGTACACACTCTGCAGATGTGGCATTTCAGTCAGTGGCTTTCCAAAGATGTTTCCAGCACTTGGGTTGTTGTGCTGAGTCCGCGGGGAAATAGCTACTACTATTCGTCCTATGTACAGCGAATGAAAACTGAAAGATATGGTGCAAGAGAATCCTTGCTACTTCGACACACCCAACATTCGCAGAGCATTCAGGATCTTCACCCAACCGGCAAGCCGTGGGCTGATGGAATTCCATTGAGGCCATCAGTGCAGTGGAGTGGCGTGATGCCTTTGCACTGCTCGAACAGCTTCAGGCCCAGCTTCATACCGGGACTTTGTTGTGGGAACGCCAAGCGGTACCCAGTGTGATTAAGGCCTAACATGTCCTGTGGTGGATTACTCTGGATCATCTCCGGCTTGTTTCAGTGGGGGGATCCTTACAGGCTAGGTGATGATGACCGCTACTAGGAGCAAAGACGCTACTAGGGTCTCCTGGCTAGGGGCTCCTGGCCTTACTACTAGGAAAGGACGCTACTACTAGGAGCATCCCAAAACATGACCGCCCACCAGGAGGCACTGCAGTTGCCAAATGTCATCACCTACAATGCCATTTTGGCGAAAGCCTTGGACTGGTCGAAGACCTTGGAGCTTTTGGAGGAGATGGAGGAGCGCCAAGTGGAGGTGAGGAAACTCAGAACTCTGAGGTATGGGAAGGTGAGGGCTTTATATTAATGTGGCAGCAGCATGTCTTGTGCAGAGGGTTGGAAGGTGACAGGGCAAGAATCCATGCGCATCATCCCCTCAATTCTTTGGTGATCAAACACCTGGCAAATCTGGCCTGGCAGGAACTCTCCTGGGTGGGACTTTTGGGTCAAGTCTTTTGGGCACTGGTGACCTTCAACAGATCTGCCTTGGAGGCCATCGCTACTAGGTTGGAGGCCATTGCTACTGGGAGGCCATCGCTCTTAGGTTGGAGGCCATTGCTACCACGTTGGAGGCCATCGCTAGTAGGTTTTCATGTCCAGATGTTTGTGCCATGCTCCAAGGCGACTCTGGTGACCTTCAACACTTTGATCTGCAGCTCTGAGTGGTCTTGGGCTTTACACGTGCTGCAAGAGCTGCTGACCATGAAGTTGAGGTAGGGGGAACAAAGGATTACATGTTTGAATTCAACATTTCTGTAGGCTTTACCCCTTGTCCTAGTTTACAAGGTTTGAGGAGTTGACCCCTTTGCTCGCCGTTGCCTTTTCCTGCTGTCCTTAGATATTCTACTTCCAAGAATTAACTGACTCAATCTCAAAGATATGTACATATACATGTCCAGCTATCCAATCCTCATTCTGGTCTTTGGGTTTACAAAATCACCCAAGCTGGGAGGCCCAACGAGCTGACATACACTGCGGCCATGGGTGCATGCGAAAGAGGCTGCCCCAAGTGGATTGAGGGGTGCAAGCGAGATCTTGTTATTCTGGAACACAAGGTGTGATTTGATCTACTAACTAGTAACAAAGGGCATCGCTACCAGGAGCAAGGACGCTACTAGGGGCTCCTGGCCATACTACTAGTAACAAGGACGCTACTAGGAGCAAACGGCATCGCTTGTCGATGAGTTCACACTTTGGACCAGGGTGGTGAAGTTTGACATCAGCTTGTAGTGACACTCAAATTATTGGGAAGCCAAGACTCATTAGTTTCGCCAGGTACTCACCGGCTATTGTTGCTAAGCTAGGACTCCGCAAGTGCTTCACGGCAGGAGAATGCTGGGCTGGTGCTTTGGCTTTGCTGGCGAGGATTCCAGGCGAAGACTACTGTGGGACACCTGTGCAATCGATTTGTACAAGTCACAAGTCAATTCAAATAGCAAAGGGTGATAAAGCATCTCCAGCATTTTTGTTTTGCTTCGCTCAGAACAAGTGGTAGATGAACCTGGATTTGGTGTAAAGTCCCCTTTCCTGACGTATTTGTAACTGGTAAGACACGTATAGTCGATAATCGTTGTACCCCTTGAATATTTGCTTCATATTCTGTAGATCCGGACTATGTGGCCTATGGCGCCGCCATCAGCCGATTGGTTGCACTAAGCCACCTGAGAGACTTTTGACTGTTCCGTTGTTCGCTGTTTTCTTGCGACCATCTTGATAGTTATGTTAGTTGGCACTGCCATGGTGACTTGTCATGCGTGCTGTCATTGTGCTTTCGGTTGCTGCCGGTGTTTGTGGCATATAATATCGTATACTCACATATATAATCATTGAATCATGAATCACGTTGTTTTGACTTAGCCTTGCCTTGTTGGACCATCATGTTTCCTGGGGGCGCCGGTGCACTGAAGGCTCCAACCCACCGTCGACCGGTCGAGCCGAGCTGGTGCAGTTTCCAACGATGTCAGCCGCACAGCGGTTTCGAGTACAAGTCCTCACATGAAAATCGGGGGTCGCATGGTCATAGTGCAGGGATTTGGGAAATAACTTTGAACTGTTGACCCGAAGAAGCGTTTTTGGACGCTACTAGTAGAAAAGGGCATCGCTGCTAGGAACAAGGACGCTACTAGGGGCTCCTGGCCTTACTACTAGGAACAAGGACGCTACTGGTAGCAAGGGCATCGCTACTAGTAACAAAGGGCATTACTACTAGGAGCATTCTTACTACTAGGAACAAGTGCATCGCTTCTAGTAACAAGTGCCTTACTAGTAGTAACAAGACAAGAAGCTGCTAGGAGCATTCTTACTACTAGGAACAAGGACACTACTTTGGGCATGTTGGACCTTCAGAACTCGGATCGACTCGGCGGGGTCAAACCACCGAGGGTCTTTTCTGAAGAGCAACGAGTGAGTCGGGATGCAAGCAGAGCAAGCAGAGCTTGCCGCCTATGAAACTCCTCCCGAAACAAACCAACCTTCCTTCACCCCAATACTAGTTCAACAAGTTGAAGACATTCTGCCTGAGTTCCATGCAGCATGTTGTAGGATGGAGGTCCTGGCTACTGCAGTTAATTGAGGAGAAAGTGTACCGGTGAGCTTTGGGCAGGGGGGGCACCCATCTAGAAATGAGTTGATGTTTCTTCGCATTACATGACTCTTCCTCAAGTCTGGTATCTCTTGTTGCAGACACGACCCTAATTATCATTAAAGCCCGCCTTTCTCTCATGCCTTTGGTGTTTGAGGCGCCTGTGAAAGGCGTTGGGTCGAGGCTCTGGAACTCCTGCGAGTGATCCAAGATCAAGGCAGGTGGCTAGAGCGGCTAGAATCTTTACTTAAAAGTCTTGGAGATGGAGAGCCTACTGCAGTCAAGTTATTTGTCCTGCTTAGCACCGCCACATGTTGTATGACAAACCGGTATTTGTCGTGGCAACTGGTTTCCAGACAGGGGGAACAGAAACACTTTGGATGATCGTGACAAGCGATCAACAGAGGAGGATTTTTGCAAGGACAGTGTGGGTGCCACCGGGTGCCACGGGTGTGCAAGCTAGTTTTCGTGAGGTTTTTTTAATCATAGCGACTAATGTTGACCAACTCAGCGAATCATGGATACTCAAGTAGGACAAGCCTTTCCACCAGAGAGATGCCTGTAGAATGCATCGACTGCACTGAACAATCATAGACTTTCTGGATTTCTTTGGGAACATGGAATCCAGAATTGGACTCCACCTGGGCCCTGGGCAGCTTTCTTTTTGCGGACGAACCGACCCTTGTGTTTTAAGTGTCATTTTTCTCTTCGCAAGGGCTTCGTCCAAACTTGGTGATCTGCAGTGCGGCGATGGCTGCCTGTGAGAAAGGCGACGTGGCGAGGGTTGAAGCCCTTGGGTGGTTAGAGCAACAACAAGCCGGTCCTTTACACAGGTTTGTCCCTTCCAAAATAATCCAAAGACAAACTGTGCAAGGCCAATGTCTTGCTTGGGAAAGTCGAAAGGATTGTCTTGCCCCGGGCGCTACGCTCCAAGTTCCAACCATGTGCGAACTCCAGAAACACCCTTTAAACCACAAGGGATCCACTTTAAAGTTGTTTGGAACCTTGAATTTGTGAGTTTGGAATACTATACTACTATACGTAGTCGTTGGGTGGGGGTTGCCGAGAAGGATTCAGACCATTGAACGTGTGCGTGTTTGGGGGCCTCAGAGTCTTTTCCAGTGAGAGGAGAGCAATGGGAATTGGCGCTGGAGCTATTATCGATTGCAGCTGAGTTGTCTGACAAGTCACCAGCCACTTGGCACATGGTTGATGGATTCAGGGCCAACAGGGCTGGCCTCTGCAAACGTGCAACCCTAAATCGATTAAAGGATTTTTCTAGTGATCTGATCTGCGGGACGCACATGTGAACCACCCTCAACGCCAGCGGTTATCCGGGACTCGAATAGTTTGGAATATGGTGACCAGTGTACAGAATTCATTCGTTAGAATTCAGATAAGGTTCTTTACAGTTGGCAATCTTTCCGCACATTAGGTTGGAGGCCATCGCTAGTAGGTTGGAGGCCATTGCTAGTTGGAGACAAGCAGCCGCGCGACAGTTCTGCATCTTGACACTTCATAGCTGTTCACATTGATATGACACTTCTGCACCATTTTCCACTTCATGAGTGGCTTCTGTTCCATGAAAACCAACACCCAGAAGAGGACAACTTCTGCAAATCCTACAGGTGCCCTTCAATTCTGCGATCAGCGCCTGTGAAAAAGGGAGTCAATGGCTCCTGGCCTGGGAGGTCTTTCACCAGATGGACCATGCAGGCCATGTGTAAGCCGCACATTCTGGAGACATCACTGGATGTTGTGTTTTCAAGCATTACATGTCTCAACTGTAAGACTTGTAAAGTGACAAAACGTGCCTGACGTAATTTCCAGGTAGCTTCGATGTGAAGATCGTTTCTGCAGGTATTGAGTTCGATAATATTGGCCGCAGTGCGCTGATCCGAGCTTGCCACCGAGGTGCATCAGATAAGCAGACCAACTCCCTTCCACCCCTATACTCTAACAGGTCCTTTTTCATCATTCTTGAGTCTTTTCGTTCCTGGTTCGTTCTTGGCAGTCTTTTCGTGCCATGCCTGAACGGTGAAGATGTCATTGTGACTGTCGCCAGCTGGGCAATGGCCACGCGTGTTGGAGCTCCTCGACTGCCTCTTCTTCAGCCGTGCCTCGCGGCCAAGGGCGGCTGAGGTTTATGTTGTCATAGAGAATCCTCAGACCTCGACTCAATGCAACCATGCTTTGGTGGTCGTGAGGTCTGTTGAGGGGTTAAATGCGGTTCAATACAGTGGGATAATCTGCATCTATGCAGTTTTATGCCAGACCTTGGGCCATTGAACATGGCGTGTTCTGCAGTGCTAGGAGAAGTTCGCCGTCAGCCTTGGTATGCCAATTTCTCGGATTACAAGTCAAGGCAACTTCTAAGATCTTAGGAATCATAATTATCGGCATTTGGTAAATCAGTGGGCTGGTGCACCGTCTGCCGTCTGCCAAACAAACCAAAAACCTCCCAGAGTGGGTTGAGAAGACTATTTTCTACTACCAGGCTGTAATGGTATTCGTCGAGTCATCTGTTCGTTGAAGGTGAGCTGGAATTGGACGTGGCAACGTGTTCGCTTTGCATCAGTTCTTGCTGCTTGGCCGAGAGGTCAAGGGTGCATCACCTTCAGCATGCAAGAGGCTATACAATGAACATCTGGAAGCTCATGAGCAAGGCAGCGAGGCATGAGGTCAGCGGTGGTGGACATGCGCACTCACCGCAGGGCGCCCTTTGGCACAAGGGAAAAAGCGCCATCCCGCCGACGCGCCGCCGTGCGGTTTTTGATGGTAGGCGGAGCTGGGATAAGGTCCAGCTGCTGCCTTGCGCTGGCCTGACCAGCGCAGCTTAGCGCCTTCCTCCTGCTGCTGCGTGGCGACGGCGCTGCGCGGCCTGGCTTGCACCCGCTGCTGCCGGTGCGCGGCCTACGACACTGCTGAGCTCTTCGGCATCCACCACGAGCCCCTCGATGGCATCCAAGCTGGAAGTGGATAGGTATGGAGTCCCGCAGTATGCGGGCGAGGCTGACCTCTTCGAGGAATACTGTGAGCGAGCTTGGGATCTATGGCATGGCCGCGAAGGCCAAGAGACGATGCAGCTCGCCTCCCCGGTTCATCTCAGAGCCGGCCTGTCAGGAGCAGCCTATGAGGCAGTCCGGAAGCTCGAGCACACCAAGCTCAAGACCAAAGACGACAAGGGCAGTCCTACAGACGCTGGAATGCGCCTCTTCCTGGAGACCCTTCGCGAGAACATCGCAGCAACTCTTCCTCAAAGCGTTCTATGCCCCGTCGGTCTGGCGGAAGACTACAGAGACGATGCAGCAGTTCATCATCCGCCGTGAGCAAGAGTTCCAAATGCTCGAGGAGACCCTGTCAGGTGGAGGAGTCCCTGACCACATCAGGGCAATGATGCTGCTGTTGTTCGCCGGCCTGGACCACAAAGAGCAGCTCAACGTGTTGTCCAGCTGCGGCAACGACTATGACTTCAAGAAGATCTCCCATGCACTGAGGCTCCAATTCCCGAACTCCGTCGGCAAGGTCGTCGTCAAGAAGGATCTGCTTGGCTGGCAGCAAGGTAGCAGAAACATCAACACCTTGCACAACCTCTCGCCCCAACGCAGAAGTGGAAGGTCACCGCTCGTGGCAAGAGCTATGCCATGGCCGTTGATGGAGACGACTACTATGAGGACCAGCCTGATGAGGACGCCTTCATTGAAGACACTGCTCAACCCGAGGAGGAGGACGCCTTCTATGAGGACAACACTCCATACAGCTACTCCGACGATGAGACCCTTGACACCTACCTCCAGGACTTCCCAGAAGAGGATATGGAGTTGGCTGAAGCACTTGCTACCGCCATCCAGAACAAGCGCAAGAAGAAGACACCTTCTTCCACATCCTCGAGCACTACCAACAGCTTCCCGTTCAAGGCCCAAGGCGAGATGTCATTTGACGCCAAGGCCAGAGAGAACAGGAAGAATGCCGTGAAGTTCCTGAAGTCCGTGACCCCCTGCACCAGTTGCGGCCGCAAGGGCCATTGGCAGGGTGATGATGAATGTCCCAACACCCGGAAGAAGGGAAAAGGAAAAGGGAAGAAAGGCTCATCGCCGAAGAAGAAGCCCTCCAGCACCTTCTTTGTGCTCCATGACACGCTCGAGTCCGAGGATGAGAAACCTCAGACTGGTGACACCATGACTGGCTATGTCCATGTCTCCAACGCCTCTCCGCAGTATGTGTACACCCAAGAGCCCAATGCACTTGCCGGGAATGTCATGACCCCGGAATATGACAAGATCCCTGCGTATGTCACCACCAAAGAGCCCATGGACGTTGCAGAGAATGCCATCGCCAAGTTTCATTCCAATGCCACTCCTGAGTATGTCCTCGCCACTACCGAGCTCTATGGTGGCGATGTGAGAAAGGAGGGCAGTTTCACCGATTGCCTTGCAACATCAGCGCACCACGAAGTGCTGATGGTACTGAAAGAAGTCCCTATGTGTGAGCATTGCAGCTACAATGGCGGCAACGAGAACAAGTACTTCCGTGGCGCCAACGGCCACTGTCGCTACCTGACCTGCAAGGAGCGCGAGTGCGACAAGACTGTTCTCTCCTGCAGACGAAAGGAACCAGCCGAACTATGGCGCTACCTGGTCGTTGTGGCCCTGTGCACCAAGTTCGGAACAGCAGCACGATCTCGCGAGTTGTTCTCCAATGTCTGCAGAGTTCGAGGTGAAGCACTTGAAGAACGTGAGAAGAAAGCAGCCATGAGGCCGACCAAGCCTCCAACAGCTCCAGGATCGCCATCATGGTTCCTTGTTGAGCCTTCACCATCTTCACCAGCTTCATCGCCGTCTACCAGTACAACTGGTTATCCAAGAGCCCGCATTTTGCGGCGCCAAGAGCCCATCATCTTGCTATATGGGATAAGCCTCTCAGCATCACAAGATCTACCACCATTTCCTGACTTGGGAGAGGAGGACAACGACATCCTCCAGCGACTACCTTCAGATCATTCCATCCTCAGCACGGACACGCCCTATGCTGGAATGACCTTTATGCAAGTGGCATCATCAGCTGAGAGCTCCTGGTTTTGCAGCCATGTGATTGGGCAGGTCCTTGAGAACAAAGCAGCCATGACACCCGAGCAGTACCGCTTCGCCTTCTACCTCTATGGGCGGCTACGTTTGGTGCACGCTGCTGGAACAAGGCTCCTGAAAGCTGGGAAAGAGCCAAACCCTGGAAAGCGTGTCATGTCTCCTGATGACATGGTCACCCAAAGATGCATCTGTGTTCCGCTGTCAGCTGATCCCACCGGTGCATATGAGAGCCTGAGTGTCCATGACTGTGAAGTCATGATGGTCACCGCAGACGAGGATGAAGACCACAACCTCGCCATGGCCTACCTCGCACCTCCTAATAATCCACCTGGTCTCGCTATTTTGGACTCTGGCTGCGCCAGGACTATGCGTGGCACTTCCTGGGCGAGGGCATTCGAAGCAGAGCTCCAAAAGATGGGCCTCACTCCAAAGAGTCGATCGAAGACACAGGCATTCAAGGGCATCGGAGGCCAGCTCAAAAGCGACGCTGTCAAGGTCTTCCCCGTCGGCGTTGCCAAGATCCACGGTGAACTCCACTCAGCTGAGACTTCAAGCAACGCACCACTCTTGCTGTCTCGACCATTTATGCAAGAGCTTGGCACCGTGATTGACATCGGCAACAGCACTGTTAGCTTCACCAGCATTGACGTCAAGAACCTGCCACTCCTCCGCACGTCTCGCGGACATCTGGCAATCAGCCTCTTGGACTTCGACATGGAGAACATCTCCGAATTCGTGGACTATGACCAGCAAGAAGCCCTGCTACAAGAGAGTCCACCTCAATCTCCCGACATATGGGAAGCAGTGAAGGAAGGTCGTGACCTGAATCAACATCTTCTCGACCGCCTTGGACCAGATGAGTGTTCAGCCCCGGACTATGTACCTGAAGGCTGGAATCCGGATGATTGGCAAGAGCATGTCGACTTCCTCGACACCATGAAGCAGGACGTCCAAAACTGGGAGAGCTATTGCGCTCGCTTTGCTGCAGGATCCGGAGAACCGCCTCCGAACAACATCCCTGATCCTGAAGATGTCCGAGCTCATGGACGACACTCAGATGATCCAAAGCACTTCGAGCATTCATCGCAAGACGAACTACATCCAAGAAGGCCAAGAAGCTTGAGCCACTTTCCACCTCACTGGATGGTGATGACTGGCACCACTTCCAGGTCATCACTGGAAAAGCAACAGCTCCAAGAAAACCTCCCTATGGGAAAACATGGATGAAGCAGCTCTTCGCAGGACAGATGGGTCTTTCCATCCTCTGCGTGATCGCTGGCATGGTCATCGGCGCGCCCTTGGACGTCACCAGCTCAAATCTTGCACAACGACCTGCAGAAGGAGGACCCCTACTGCCTGGTGATCACTCAACCTTGGGGTCCCTGGGGAAACTGGAGCCGATTCAACTTGGCACGTGGTGGTCAACACGCCATCACGATTGAAGAACTTCGCAAGGACGGGCGCCACATCCTCCGACTTGTCAACAAGACCATCGTCGACAGAGTCAAAGCCAAGCGGCATGTCTTCGTGGAGCAGCCCCACGGTTCACAATGGTTGGAGGAGCCTGAACTCGAAGGTGTCCGGAAACTGCTCGACTCTGGTGACCTCACTCAGCTCCGAGTCGATGGATGTCAAGTTGAAGCCTTCCCGCTATGTCACTTCAATGCTAGCGGCAGAGAGCGTGTCCCAACATCGGCATCGTCCTCATGATCACCAACATGAACACCTTGAAGGCAGAAACGCCTATGGAGCCAGGACACTTCAAGCCGCAGAATGGCCTCAAGAGCTCAACAAGCTCGTCTATGACCTGATCCTCCAACAGGCGGCCATTGAGAACACTGCAACCGTTGGTATAGCTGAGGCATATCCAGCTGAAGTCCGACCTTCAGAACAACAACAGGCTGGACGCACTCCAAAACGGAGAAAGAAGGGAAGGATGGCAACTCTCACTTCTCAGTATGGAGCGCCACCGGTCTGCATCCGACCTCCTGAACCAACAGAACCTGAACTACCAGCAATAGAGGAGGATGAAGAACAACATGATCCACTACCAGCAGTGGCTCCTGGCGATGACACTTCAGCCAGAGCGATTCAGGCCCATGTCCTCGACCCCACCCTCAACCTCTCCGAGCAAGAGAGAAGAAGACGATGGCTCAATGTCGAACCTGGCCTGAGGAAGACCTTGCGCGACCTCCACACCAATTTCGGGCATCCAACAAATGCCACACTGCAGAGACTCCTGAGGAGACAAAAGGCCAAGATGGACGCCATCACTGCAGTGGACTACCTGGCTTGCGACATCTGCGGTGACAGCATCAGAAGAAGGCGACCACGTCCTGTCCGATTACCAGGTCGCTACATCTTCAACCACCACCTGCAGATCGACGTCTTCTATGCCAGGGACTCAGTTGGGGAACAGTTCAGCTTCCTCAACATCATCTGTGAGGCGACTGGCTTCCAAGTCGTGTCATGCCTGGGCAACTCAACGGGCCCACCAGCAACAAAAGCTGTCTTGCGCCACTTCCTGACTACGTGGTCATCGTGGGCTGGATTACCTCAATCCATCCAAGTTGATCGAGGAAAAGAGTACATGCTCCACTTCAGCAACTATCTCAAGGAATTCGGAGTCGAGCAGGAGATCATGCCCCTCGAAGCTCCATGGAAGAACGGCAAGGTTGAAAAGGCAGGCCACCTCTGGAAAGAGATCTTCTACAAGGTCGTGCGTGAGATGCAACTCGCCGGACTCGAAGATGTGGTTCTCGCCACCTCCATCGTGACGCAATGTCGAAATGCCTTTCCAAGAAGCTATGGCTATGCTCCAAATCAATGGGTTCTGGGCACTCCCCAAGTCCGACTACCCGGATCACTTCTTCAAGAAGATGAAGCTCAAAGACTCGAGATCCTCGAAGCTGCTGAACAACCAGAGTCAGCTATGGCAAAGAACCTCAACATCCGTGAGGCCGCCCGTGTAGCTCAGATCCAACAAGACACAGACAGCCGAGTCCGCCGAGCCCTTCTACATCAAAGCACTCCAACGAGAGGGCCATATCCTGTCGGCAGCTATGTGTACTTCTACCGCATCCAAGCCCCAGCTGGAGGTGATCGCTCCTATCGATGGTTTGGTCCTGCCCGCGTCATCGGCGTGGAGATCTCCAACCCACGAAGGATGGAAGGCGATGAAGCTCTTCCAACTGATGGAGGACAACCTCACAGTTACTGGCTCCGCTATGGTGGAAGCGTTGTCTTGGTCACAGGTGAACAGCTCCGGTTTGCAAGTGAAGATGAACTGCTGGCAGCACATCTCGTACCACAAGAGCTCCTAGAACCAAGCTACATCCGAGGTGCTCGGAACTACGCTGATCTTCGTCTCCATCTACCACCTCCACCAGAGCATCAGCAGATACAAGGACTACATGGAGCATCGATCACACCTGAAGGAGTAAACCCCTCCTCAGCGTCAGCACCACCGAGCACGGCAGCCGACACACATCACAGACCACAACTAATGCAGGCAGCCCAAGCAAGGGCCACACAAGCACATCTTCAACCAGTTCCAGAAACAACCGATCTCGACATGGACGACAGCACACAGCAAGAGGAAAGGACGGGTCAAGTCCAAACCCCTTTCCAACATGTGCCCGAAACACCGCCAATCGGGTTCACACCAAACAGAACAACAACTCCGCCGGACCTCAACTCGGCGATGAATCAGCCAGACAGGCTAGATGGACATCCAGAAGCTACCTTCCGACCAGTCAGAACAGAACGTGAGCCACAACAAGGCCCCTACATGGTCGAGGAGGACATCTGGGATTGCCCGACGTTTCCCTCAGTCATCCGTGAACGGAACCTCAAGCGACTGGCAAAAGAATCCGGCTACACCTCCGACTCCAACGAGGAGATCACTGAGGACGAGCAGGCCATGAATGATGACCCTGCAGATGCCTTCCTCACCGGAAAAGCTGCCAGGTCAACCGACATCAAACTCCACAACCTCAGCAAGGAGGACCGGGAGAAGTTCGATGCATCCATGGCAAAAGAATGGGCATCTTGGCAGCGCTTCAACGCCGTCGAGCTCCTCACTCCGAAGCAAGTGAAAGAGCTACCTGAAGATGTCCAGATCGTCGGCGCCAAATGGGTCCACACGGACAAGAATGACAGACCAAGGCTCCTGGCCGGCTTCCTGTCCAAGAGAACAGGCAAAACAAAAGAACAGATCAAGAAGGAGTTCCCCTTCGAAGCCAAGTCCAGGATGGTCGTCTTGGGCCACCTTGAAGAAGGAAACAACATCAGAAGCGATTCGCCTACGGCATCTCTCCTGGCGTTCAACATCGTCAGCGCCGTGGCAGTGATGAAAGGCTGGACCATCGTTGCTTGCGATGCTTCAACAGCCTATCTCCAGTCCCAGGGCATCAGCAGACTACTTGTCCTGCGGCCACCAAGGCCACCTCAGGGAGTATCTCCACATGATCTCTTCCGAGCCCGGGGTTCAATGTATGGAACAAAAGATGCTGGCAGAGCATGGTGGAAGAAGCTCTACAAGACGCTCAAGGCTCAAGAGCGGACTATGTCCCACATCGAGCCAGCGCTCTTCTACCACATCACCGATGGCTACCTCAGCGGCGTCCTCATCACTCACGTGGATGACCTCCACTGTGCCGGTGAAGGCGACAAGTATGAGGAGACCATCAGTTCCATGGAGAAGGAGATCCACCTCAAAGTGAAACGAAGCGAGTTCCGCTTCTGTGGAAAGAACATCGTCCAAAAGAATGGCAACATCGAGATTGACCAGTACGACGCCATTGAAGGCATCGAGTACATGATCTTCAACAAGACCCGCAGACAGCAGGTCAATGCCCCTCTCAACGAGCAGGAGAAGACCCAGTTCAGAGGCCTCATCGGCCAGATGGGATGGATCACGAGGCAGTCACGCCCTGATCTCATGGTGAATGTCTCCATGGCCAGTCAGTCCATGGGAGCCCCGAAGGTCAAGGATGTGATCCAGCTGAACAAGGCCGTGAAGATGCTGAAAGAGACAGCTGACGCAAAGTGGAAGTTCAAGACCTCCAACCTCAAGCTCGAGGACTGCGTCGTGTTTGCCTTCACGGACTCCAGCTTCGCGAACACCGAGCAGCTAAAGTCACAATGTGGCTATGTACTTGGCCTCACCAGCTCCGAGATGAAAGATGGAAAAGAGGTGCCCATCTACATCCTCGAGACCTACAGCGGCAGTGTGAAAAGGGTGTGCAGAAGCACCTTAGCTGCAGAGGCCAACGGATTCCTCGCCGGTGCAGAAGCGGCAGAGTATGTCCGCATGCTCCTCTACGAGATGATCAACCCCACCGAGAAGGTGCACACCTTGGACAAGGAGTTCAAGAAGAAAAAGACCCTGGTGTTCACGGACGCCAAGAGCCTCGAAAGCACGCTCAACAAAGATGCCGGACAGCCGTCCGACAAAAGGGTGAAGATCCTGTGCGCCCAGATCAAAGAGATGCTGGGAATCCATGACTATGAAGATGATGGTGACACCTATGCTCAATGGGTGGACACGTCCCAAATGCTGGCCGACGTCCTCACCAAGCTTGGATGTGAGCGAGAGCCTCTTTTGAAGGCCTTGGATGAGGGCCAGTACAGGACACTTCCCACAGCGGAAGCCCAGCAGAAGAAGCTGCTGATCCGTGCCGGCCGCCATGCTCGGAAGCAGAGAAAGAAGGCTGACAGTGAGCCCACAAGTCCACCAAGGACGGGTGAAAATCTGGAAGCTCATGAGCAAGGCAGCGAGGCATGAGGTCAGCGGTGGTGGACATGCGCACTCACCGCAGGGCGCCCTTTGGCACAAGGGAAAAAGCGCCATCCCGCCGACGCGCCGCCGTGCGGTTTTTGATACAATATAAGCAAGGTAACCCACACAAGCCCTGCCTGAAACACCACTGGTGGGCTTGTTGCAGCAAGACAGGCGAACAGGGTGACCTTGCCCAATGCCCAAGCTTGCTGGCAGTGGAAGAGAGTGCTGGAATGCAGCTCCTCATGAGCCTCAACCAGCACTAGGCGCCCAGGTTTTTGTTTTGTAGATTGGTCAAGTAACTATAAAATCATTTTCGCCTAAGGCTTCCATGCTTAATGTTTGAGCTGTATCTAGCAGTCAAGCAGGAGCACTTTGGCAACAACTCAGCAACTAAATTGTGAAGACAAACATTCCGGCAGACTCGAAACAGCGCACGTGTGTAAGCCCGCAAATTGTTGGAAGGTTATCACTGCATCCAAACGCACGAGGTGACAGTGTCACAAAGCCCTTTCTACGAATTTGAGAGGCTTCTACGGTACTCAGTATCGCGCAGAAATTTCATCCGTCCATACAAGCTCCTTTGTTGCGTTGCAGGTGTGGCAGATGGCTCTCACAAGTGTGGCACTTAGGAAGCTACACGGGAAAAAATTCAATTTCGGCAGTTGTTGATTCTTCGAATCTTGGCAAAGAACCGCAGAAGAGACCCAATGAAGGCTGTGAAGGATCTCGGAACACATGTTTTTTTTGTTGTTGTTTTGTTTTTTCTGCAGGATTTGTCCAAGATTCAAGCTTCTTTCCTGTAGAAGCTCTAACGTCACCTGGCCCATCGCTGATGAAGTTTTTCCCGCTATTCCTTCAGCTGGCAGTCAGCTTGGGAGACTATTGGGATGAGGGAAGGTGCTTGAATGAGACTGAGAGCACCGAGACTGTTTTCATGCAAATGCTGAAGAGGGAGAAAGTTTTGTCAACCAAAGAGTATGCAGAGGCCATGCAGTGCAATCAGCAGCAGGATTCTTTCAAGCTGAACGGAGGCGACTTTGTTTTTGTGCTGAGTCCATCTGCTGGTGTGCTTTGGGGTGATCTCATGGCAAGTTGGCAAAAGGGACCTCAGAATCAGCGGTACATCGCCGTTGACTACACCTTTATGTCGAAGAGTTATCAGATCAATGACTACACGGCCCTCTCCTTGGACGCGGGTCTTGGACTTAATGACCCACTCACCACAACAAACAATGATGTTAATGATGTTGTCTTTAGTGCCTTGGGCCTTGGCTTACCCCTGCTGCTACTGAGGTGTGACAACGCTGCCCATGACGCTTTGGTTGCAAGAAACCAACATGCTCATTCTTCCCTTGCCCTTTGCGACTGGCTGCAATTCCTTCTGGGCTGCGGCTGGAGGATTTATTGTCTCCCCCTGGCAGTTGGTGCTTTACCAAAGCAAGGGCTTTGACGAAGCAGGGTGGCCAAAGTCCTTAGATCCAGAAGCTCTCATTGTAGAGGACTTGGCGTGGCGCATCCGCTTCAAACCCAAGCTAATGGTCATTCCAGGAGAGACACCTGAGACCCCACCGATTCAGATACTTAAAGCCTCTTTCTACTTGGAGTTCCGGCCCATTTTCCGTGATCCGGGACCTCCGAAGAATAGCTCCACAACCTTGACCACCACAACAAAGCCCTATGATAGCCGAAGGAGAGGCTGGAGGCCTCCTCCTGACCTGGTACCACGAGAGGTGGTAGAGTGGTGCGTGGCAAATGGGATTTGCTGCGTGGAGCAAGTTGTTGTTCCAAACCCTCGTTGGACTTGCGTGAGATGCTGCCCAAGCGGGAATTGCCCAAGCTGTCCCTGCTCTTGCCACAAAGGTCAGATCTACCTCTCTTCCAATGTCTCCAACATTTCTATGAGCATCAGCCTGCGAAAGAAGCCGTTGGCCTTGAGGGAGATTAACGCTCGAGGTGATTCTGAGGAGGGACACTTTGACAGGAAGAGCCTGACGATTCCCAGTGGAGTGCTCTTCGACACACCTGAACTGCATAGTTTGCTTTCTACAGAGGAGATGCAAAGGGTGAAAGAATTCAAGAGTTCCACGGATTCACCAGTGGTTCCTCCAGAGGGCATTTTGGTGAAAGCCACCACCTATTGGCACTCCAAATGCCCAGAACCTTTCATTATTGGCGGTGGCTGCGAGTGTCCTGATTGCGGCTTTGTGCCGTATATTAACCAATTCATCGCTGGAGATGCAGAGTTTGTATGTCAACAAGGAATACCACCACTAGAAGTGTATCCACTTGCCAAGCTCATTTGTGCGGTTGACCGGCCGATTGTTCGCCAGAAAGTGCAGGGTCTTCTCTCACAGCCTGAGGGCATCACTGCAACCTGCCCAGATGGTGCCAGAGTGATCGGTGGCTCATGCAACATGGCTGCGGAGGGCATTGAGGCTTTCGAAACGGCTTTTTCCTGTGGATGAGAGGAGCTTCTACTGCTCAGGGGTGGGTGAGATGGCGGCCAAGCCTGTCAAGGTTGCAACGGCCACAGCATATTGCCTTGAACCACAAGGCAACGAGGATGTGAAGATCATTAAGGTCCAAGGTCGTGCCAGTGCTTCTGCCAAGTGCCCTGAAAGCTACCAGCTGGTGGGAGGAGGCTGCAACTTCTTAGATGGCTATTCATTTTCCCTACGGCAGTCCTACCCAACTCAGCAGAACACCTGGGAGTGCAAATTTGAGACCACATTCAAATGTGGCCCAAGCAGCCCAGATTGCCTGCTGAGTGAGGCCAGAGCAGTGTGTATGGCCGTCTTGTCTTAGATAGGCGTCGCCTGTAATTCGGCGTGGTTAGATTTTTGTGACATGCTCGCATTCAAGCTGTAGCATGTCATCTCTGGGGTGTGCACGGGCATTTTTGTGTATAGTCTTCCTGACGTGGCTCACACGCAAGGTGTAGCATGTCGTCCCAAGCGCACCACCATTTCGCTGCAAAGGGCAGAGGGCAGGGAGTCTTTGAAAGCTCTTATTAATACAAGCATCAACATTTGAAAGTTTCGAGGAGTGGGCAAGTTCATATATTAGACCCTAGCAGCCTCTTTGGTTTCAAGAGGATTTTCTACTACACTCGCAGAAATAATCATGGAATATCATTGAGTGTAGATGTCATGGCCCTGAAAAGATCATCTTCTTCTACAAACCGGTGGTTTTCCATTCCAGGATCTATGGTGTGATGGTTCGGTGACTTCATGCTCCAGCCACCCAGCCACCACTGGACATACACCGAGAATCTGGGGCCTGGTGGGGGGGTTTGCTTGTTTGAGCCAGGGCTCCTGTAGATGTTACAAGACGTCGAAAGACCTGAGAGATGGGATGCGGAAGGCGCCACAGGTGAAGCATAGTAAGCTCCCTGCGGGGTGAGCATGAACTATCCACTGGAGATTCAGAGTTTATCCAGTTCACCCTCCGCTTTCGCCCAGGTGGTCCAATGACGTGCATTGGTGAGATGGGCATGAAGCAGCAGGTGGCATGCTGAGAGACTTAGACCAGCTAAAAAGCATTCCATCAGTTTGGTGCTTGTTTTGATTGACACACACTTGGCTACGAAACCAGGTATGGCATTATGGGTGGTGTACATGCTCAAGGTGTCAATTGTCACTTTTGAGTTTAACAAATGTTTGGTTCGGATTCCAACCGACAACTTCTGTACCACATGCGTGTGGTGCATGTGTGCACCATGCAGCACACTGAACGTCTGGCAACTGCATCTCCAAGTTCAGATATCCATACCACCATCGAAATCGAAGCAATCAATTTCGAGTTTGCCTTTTGATTGTCAGAAGAAATACCACGTGGCTCGAAACTGTACCAGACCAAATGGAATGGTACACAATTCGGTTCCAAAGCTGTACCAGACCAAAGAATGGTACATGGGTTCCAAAAGCAGGTACTTGTATAGACGTCCCTGCACACCTCCTGCGAGACTGCATAGCTTCATTGGGTACGGTTTGCAGTCTGATGCAATCCCCCCTGCAGAAAAAGGAACGGCACGTGTTTTCAAATTGTACCAGACCAGACAGAATGACACACGGTTCCAAAACTGTACCAGACCAGAAGGAATGGTAAGAGTTCCAAAGTTACAAGTACCAGACCAAAGGAAGGGCGCAAGGTTCCAAACTGTGCCAGATCAGAAGAACTGGTACAAGGTTCCCCCCTCTCAAAGGAAACATGCCAACCGGCACCCTGTGACTCCAAAGGTTGCACACAAACAGCAGTACAGCAGTTGGTGGAGCAATTGTTTTACTGTACTGTAATCTGACAGACGCATTGCCAGCGCGTAAGATTTCATTTGTACGCATGCTGTTGCGGGGGAGAGGGTGAAATGAAACATGCAAGAGAAGAATAAAGAAGGCTTGTCGAAAGAAACGATCGGAAAGCGTACATATATGAAGGGGAATCGACGAGGTGTCCAAGAACCATGAGGCCATGAGGATGGTTGCGAGAAGTCAGGGGTTTAGATAGGCATATGAAGATGCTGATATGTCCTTGCCCATCCCTGCCAACATTTCAAGCCTGCCAGAAGCTGAGGGGATGACCCAAGACCAGCGTTTTGAATCGCTCACGCTTGTGGTGAAAAGCTGTGTGAAAGCTCCGGTCCATGAAGGACAGCTTGCATTTAACTCACACTTCCAAAAATGCAGGGCGCTTGTCACGAGGCAACGGTTCTCCCTGAAGAAATGCAGCAGTAGTGTCGCCACCATAAGCCTTCCACCTCTTTCTGGCGGTCACCACTCACCACCAAAAGCAAGTGATGCCCTAGTAGCTGTGCCGTTGGTGACAACGTTGCATATTCTCCTGCATAGGGATCTTGATGTCCACCAACACATAGTCGGCCCTTGGGTCCAAACAGCCGTTTGTTGACAATGACGAATCGGCATTGCAAGGTCGAGTCCTTGCTGATCACCTGATCTAATGCCACTGGCTCGACGGCCTTGTAGGTGAAGTGGATCTCCAAGGCTTTGATGAGTGCTGGCACGGTCAATCTAACCTCGGTGGGCGTCATGTCCTTGAAGTAGATCTCCCCCCGAGTGCCAGGTTCCGGACCGGCGCGATGACCTCGCTCCCGTTCCATTTGTTTGGCATCTTCATCAAATGCTTCCAACGTTTGCGTCATTCGCTGGCATTCATCGGCTGAGGAGGAAGATTGCAGAGCCCAAGCTCGAACTCCATTTCCTCCAACCGTTCACCCCTCATGTCTGGCTGCCTTGGGCAAGGGTTCTCCTCCGTCATCTCGTTGACATTGAGCTTCAGCGATTCCTGAGGCAACTTCTGAACTCACCGTTTTGGATGTCCTTCTCAGCCGAGAACCGTTGCAAACTGGAAGCAGAAGCCGGCTTGTCGGACGCGTCTGACAATAGCGACTTCAACAAGTCCTCTTTGCCCTCAAAGAAAGCCACCTAGCGAGGCACGGTGGCATGTGATGGATCATAGGGCCCAGGTCGTGGTCGATGTTTGAGTGGCACCCCGTCCAACTGGCGACAACGGTCTTCCGAAGCCCGAGCCAAGGAAAGCATCTCTGATCGCTGACCCTCATCCGGAGGATCAGGAAGAGACGCTCCAGCCCCCACCGTCCTGTCCCTCGCCGTCCGCCAAGTCTTCATACCCAGCTGGCCTTCGATTGCCGGTGAGCTCTTGTTCCAAGTCAGCCGTGGCTTCCTTGACTCAGGACGTTGCCACCTCTTCCTCTTCAGTGGCCAATCGAACATTCTCCAAGGCCACCCGCGCAACATTGCCCTCGTAACCAAAGATGTTGTGGTCCGCCGGCGCATGCCACCACCGCAGGGCCTTGATACCCTGTCGCGACTTGAAGACGATTCTGAGCTGGTTGCTTGAAGAAGTAGACCACGGTACCTGGAACCAAGGCATCAGCTTTCAGATGTGGTGGACGAGAACGACTGTTGAGAGAGGTCCTCAAACGCTCATGGCTATCAAGCCAATGAAAGGCAGCAGCTGCCTCTTTCCGCAGTTTCTCCATGAAGTCCTGCTCTTTGATCTCTAAAATCAGAGTGTTGGCGGCGAACTTGACCTCGGCTCTGCAACCTGCTCCACTAATGAGGACGGAAGAACCATATCCCGTCCCTGCGCCACTTGGAGCGGGAAGTGGGATTGATGTTCAGACGAATGTCATACACCTCACAAAGATGGTAGAAGCCTTGGTGGATGATGATGTCTCATGCAGTTCTGGGATCAACGGAGCATCAATGACTCCTTAAAACGCTCTCTGAGGTCATCTTGTTCTGCCGCGAGTTCCATGACCCGCTCTTTCAAAGTCCTCAGCATGGTCCGGCCCGAAGGCCAAGACCATACCGTCCATGGCTGCCGCCGCGCCCCCGCGCCCGCGGATCAGCTGAGAGCAAAGGATCCACAGATCCCACCCCACCCTCACCTATCTGTTCCGCTGGCCTTTGTTCAGCGGCCACTGGACCCACAGCGCTCTGTGGTTGCTCTACCATCGCGCCCACACCACTCGGAGGTCGACGCCTCCTAGGCCACCAGGCCTCCTCGACCGCCATGGCCAAAACGACGGAAACCGAGCCCGGTCAGGTGCTGGGCTCCGCTACCACTTAAAGCGGTGCAGGGGCCGGCGCTCAAGCGCATGTTTCTCCTAGGCAAATCCACAAATTGCAGAGTGGCCACGAAAAACACAAGGCATGTGAGTGCCCATTCAACTATTATCAACTGAAGATTCAGAGTTTATCCAGTTCACCCTCCGCTTTCGCCCAGGTGGTCCAACAATGTGCGCTGGAGAGATGGGCATGAAGCAGGAGGTGGCATGGTGAGAGACTTAGACCAGCTACAAAGTATTCCATCAGTTTGGTGCTTGTTTCGACTGACACACGCACAAAGTAGTACAGCAGTTTTTGGAGCAATTGTTTTATTGAAATCGGTTGTAATCTAACAGAGACCCATTTCCAGCGCGTTAGTAAGATCTCATTTGTAAGC